TCCTAGAATGAAATATCCCACAGCCAATATTTATTTTCCCAAAATTTGTGAAATTAGACTCAGTTGTCTAGCTGTCCAGAGTGGAAATGATTTGATAAGGAAGATGGCACATAGATGGATGAAAAGATTTCCAAGTATTGGAATGTGATTCATTTTCCTGGGGGTTTTAATTGTTTAGACCGTCAGTATAGATTGAAGTTGGATTATTTCTTTCCTTTGATCTATGGAGAGATGGTCCAGATGAGACTGAGGATTCGAGGATTATGTATGATTTGTTGTGAGTATCAAGTAACCAACAAAGTTGTCAACTCAACACTCTTTGACTGCATCTTCTTCTCATTCCGATGTTCCTAGTGGTGAGGGATACATGGCTGGTTTTGATAGTTTATGGAAAACGAATCTAGTATTGCCAAGGGAAGTCAGGGTGTGAATGTTACTTAAGGAGACAATTCTGCCTAGAACTCTTGATTTTGATGTATTGACTTGGTGGAAATACATGGGGTTAAAAATCCTGTCCTACAAAGGATTGCTTGAGATATTCTTGCTATTCCTGTGTTCATAGTTGCTTTTAAGTCTGCATTTAGCACTGCTGGCAAGGTACTGAGTCCACGTTGCAACAGACTTCATTTAATACATTAGAGGGTTGATGTGTTTTAGAATTGGTTAGGGCTGACACAAAAGGTAATCAAAAAGAAATTTTTATTCTTTAACAATAAAAAATAAAAATAAAAATTATTAAGATACGATAGTCCCTAATGTATACTTTTTATTCTTGTTAGGCCAAAAATCTTGTTCAATAATTTATGAGGACCGTGATGCGGATGATGAGGTATTATAAATTTGAATGTTTCTCCTTCTTCCTCTTTTAGTCATTTGTGATAGGTAAAATTTGTGTATTGTTACATATCAACTAAATTATATTCTTTGTTTGTTTAATAGGAAACTGCAGACGGATTATGATGATACTGAAGCTTGTTGTTGCACAGTTTTGGCTTTCTTATGTGAAAGGTCTATTTCTCAATATTTTTATAGGCTGCAACTTAATATTTTTTTTTTTTTTTTTTTTTTTGCAATTATCCTTTGCGAATTGAGTGCCAAAATAAAACTTGACTTTCAAATCTGAGATTACTTTTTTGGGATGTGTTCATATTGGTTCTTTATATGTGTCAGGGTTTTCACTTTATACCAAATTTCTTTTCTCTTTGATTACTTTGACCAGTTAAAACAAATACAGGCTTTGCTTTTTTCTTTGTCTTTATAGTGTTTGTTTCAGATTCACTTTGTTGAAATCTTTCCATGAGCTGATATCAAGCTAAATTCCTGTGACAGGGCCCAAGGAATTTGCTGCATTGTGGAGTTGCCTTGGTGAATGGGGAGGGAGTGTTTAACCTGATTGATCTTATTAAATATTTATTTGTTTTAAGGCATGGAGAAAATTTGAGGAAATTTTGGGGAAATGAACATTTGTGGTGCTTAAAACATTCTATTTCGTTATCTTCCAACACCTGACAGAGACCAAAAATGAAAAGAAAAAAAGTAATTTCGCTTTCTTTTGTAGGGAGATTTCCCATGAAATCAGTAGTGGTACATATCTATTGCTGTTTTTGGCATGATAGAGCATGATTTAACTATTATACTGTCAATTTTTCTACGTACTGTATCAAATCTCACTAAGAGAAAACAGTAAACTGAGAGGAACAATTGCATCGTAAATTTAATGTTCTAGATGAAGATTTGTCAGTGTGCTTCTAGAAAACACTTTTGTCTTGTTGGGACCCTTCCCCTTGCACAGGTTAAATAAAGTTCAGATGCACTTCGTAGCCTATATAATTTTTTTGACTATCTGTTTTTATTTTTAATGCCATTTTCTATTTCATGAAAAATTAAGTTCAATTTTTCAGTGCTTAATGTCAAGTGTGGAATTTGTTTTGTAGGGTATATTTGAGGAGATGATAGATATAGAAGTGGGAAAATCGATTCGTTGGAATCGAGGGATGCTTCTACAGTATTGGATATGCAGTCCCAATATCATCTCTATAGAAGTAATGTTTAAGAAGGGATGAATATGATATTGCAATTTGCAAAATCAAACGGGGAATGATGGGGGGGAAAATAGGGTTTTTCACCAAAAAAATAAAATAAAATAAAAATCTTGCAAGGACGAATGAGACGGGGAAAAATCCCCACAAATCCTGCATATGGGGTGTGACGGGGGTTACCTCATCCCCCACAACGGGGACGGGGAATCCCCTAGGGGTGGGGAATGGGGTACCGACCGCTGCTCTTGCCCCATCCTGCGCCATCCTGGTTAGTGACAGCATTAAAAGACAAAGAAGTTTTAAATTTATGCTACAAAAAATTTGACTTTAATTTTTCTATCAGTACAATAATCTGTTGTCAATAATGCTGTCTAGATTAAAAAAAAAAAAAAAAAAAAATGCAACAAAATTATTTTAATATCTCTAATATGTGTACATAAAATTTGTAATTTTAATTGACATAATAGTAAATGGAAAATGCAAGGTGATCAAAATGTACATTGTTAGAAGTACCAGAGATGAGCTTCAAGGTGTCAAGTTGGATTATATCAATACCTTCCACTTGAGTTATAGTCCATAGAGATATCCAGTCTAAGGATTTTGGAAAGAAAAAAACCTTTTATTGTGATGAGAAAAAATTAATTACCCCGTTATATAGTTTTTTGGAAAGTAAGTTTTCCGGTAACTATGAACATTCAATAAATTACCCCCAGAATTTTCAAAAACTAACAGTCACACCCTAAAAGGCTAAAACCTTAACGTCATCCAAGCCCTATTAAAATGTCAAGGGCGAGATAGTCTTTAGTCTTTTCATTTCATCCTTTTTTTTAATCATTCCCCCTCGTTTTTGGCCCTTTTTATTTTTACCGCAACTTTTTTCTCTGTTCCTCCTCATCCTCATCCTCATTCTCCCTCATTTCTTTCTCCACTCGTTGTCCTTTCCTTTCCAGCGCGACCATGATTTGTTCATCTTCAAACAAAAACAAGAATTTTCTTTTATCTCTCTCTCGTTCCCTTGACTTCCCTTTTCTTCTTCCTCCATTTTTCATTTTGAAACAAAATTCTACCACCACCACTTTGGAATTAATTTTTTTTCTTCACTTCTTTTCTTCACCAAATAAACTGATTTCAAATTAATAAATATTTGGTAAATTAAACAATAAAGGCATAATTGAAGCATACTTTGTTGAGATCAATGTATTCACTGAAGTCCTTCTAGTGCGTACGAGCGTGCCATTTCCAGCCGAGACATACAAAGCTCAAGCAGAGTTGAGCAGTCTCGAAGCCGCTCTTTTCCAGCTTCTTCACGATCACCACCACTCCTCTATCAAACTCCTCCAACAAACGGGTCGGTTCATTTTATTCTTTTACTTGAAACATTTCAATCTTTTGCTGTTCTTTTGGTGATGCTACTGTTGTTCTTTTTTCTTAAAACTGAATTAGCGAATAAAGAATCGATTAATAATGCGAAAAGGGTATCTGATTTGTTGATGGATGCAACGAATGGTGGAGTGCAAGACTCTTATTTGACGAGAAAAGAATTGAACTTGAAATTCGAACTTTGGGAACTACAATTGCCCGATTTATAAAATAGACTGATTTGTTAATGGATGCAATGAATGAATGCATATATTGTTTGTTGAATTAGAAGACTTTAATTTGGAGATGTATGGTGTAATCAGGAGTGCTTTGTTTGGTTGAAATAGATAAAAAAAGTTTTTGGATAAGCATTTGGTTGACTGTTTCTAGAAAATGTTTTTGGAGTAAGAAAAGTGATTAATAGTTGTTTTTACACATAAAGTGCTTTCTATGAAGTTCCTCTATAGGAAAGAAGGCAGTATATAGGAAATTGAATGGTGGAGGGAATATTACTTTGTGTGTTCAACCGGAAAGAATGAGAAGGATGGTCTAAAAATTTGTTTTGAAAGAAAATCTAATGAAGGGCAGTGCCATTTTATAATTTACATAAACTTATGATTTGGATAAATGTATAGAACCTTAACATTCTGATTTGGTTTTTGTGTATGAATTTGATCTGTTTGTTTTGGTGTTGATTGGTGTTTGGCGGTTGGATTTTTTTTTTTTTTTTTTTGGGGGAAAATGGTTGTTTATGATGCTTGGTTGTCGGATTGTGAGTGAAGAAGCCGCCAGCAACTTCCCATGGTGAGTAGATCTAAGAAGGAGGATGGTGGAGGAGAATGAGGGGGAAAAGGAAAAAAAAGAAAGAACGAGGGGGAAAAAAAATAAAAAGACCATCTTGCTGTTTCTATTTTAACTGAGCTTGGACAACGTTAGGGATTTAGGGTTTATAATTCTGGGGTTAAGTTGATTAAGAAGTTCATAAGCGACTTTTGGAATCTTTAGGGCGGGTAATCAAATTTTTTCCCTATTATTAATTTATTATATTGGGTATAAAGAAAAGGCTGATTTACATGTATCCACCCTAACTATTTTGAAACGACAAATTCTCACCCTAAGTTTTGGAAACTATCTTTTGCATCACGTGACTGACTTCTTCGATGTGGAACCAATCGGTAGTTGTTCTATCAGTCAGGGGTGATGAAATGAGAGGGCAAGTTGAGTGAAGCTAAGCCAACTGTACATAGATGGAGAGAGATAGTATTGGTTTACTTTATCTTGAGGGGGAAGAACAAGAAGGTTCCAAGTCATCCACAGAATGAAACGATGACGTATTGATGGGTAAATATGTATATAACGACATCATCTTCGTTTAAAAACCGGTTTCTAAAATTGATTGAACAGATACTCGAACCGAAAAAAGGTTCAAAAACAATGTATCTCTAAAGGACATGGCCGCTAGATTTGCTAAGATTAGAAGTGAGGGACAATGTAACTAGATGATGCTAAGAAAAGAGAAAAGGGAATAATACTACAAGAAGCTTCAAAAAACTCAACCAAACTAAATAAATAAATAAATAAGAAAATGAAGAAAACCTTCTTTTCATCTATTTTCCTTCTTTTTTAACTACATTTTTTTTCCCCCCGATTTAACTAGATTACACTTACAAAAATGTAATTACAGTGATAAATACATGTGAACATACAATGTCAAAAGATGCTAAACATCCCCCCCAGTGCAGTATGAGGCTGCAAATAACACCCAATTTTAAGAGAACTGATAACGCAGGAAAGGTAAAAATTAGGTTTAAAAATGTAACCTCAGTAAGACTAAGGAAGCAAGACTTGGGAGAGGTAGGGATGGACGACTTAAATCTTTCATTTTCAGACCAAGATACACCATCATTTTTTGTGCTTGGATTTTGAAGAAGCCCATTTAAAGTAACCACAATTTGCTTCAGAATTAGAAGCAGGTCCCTTAAAAAAAAAAAAAAAAAATTGTTAGTTCAAAAGTGAGCTCACTGCGTAGAAAAGCCAAAGAATTTAAATACATCTGTCTATTCCACAAATAATCAAACAAGCAGGCAAATAATAGAAACTCAGTATACGTAAAATTTTTAATTGTAACAAGCAAAAATCAGGGATTTGAAAGGAATAAAGAAGACATCAAATGGCAGCTTCTGTGTTTGTGAACCATAATGGAACACTATGTAGTGATCTTAGATAATAAAACTACAATATGTCAAGATAACTAATAAGAAGATGACTGAGTGCTGATCCTGCTGAACCAGTATCCAGATGAGTGCTCTGGATATGGTCCTGCAGTATTGTATTTTACATGAATTAGCAGCTCTGGAAATTTGAACCCAAGAGCTTGTGCTTATTATTCAAGACTTCAATTGGTACACAAAGCAATGGCCCCTAAAGAACCGATAAAATTTATTTAATCTAATGTCTCAAAACGAACATTGATAGGGACTGCTCTATAGGCTTTACTAATCTTCTTTAATCTTCCAGTAATTGTCACTGTGCACAACTGGGTAATGAACTGTTATAAATCTTTACTTTTCATCCCAAAATGAATCAGATTTTATTTCTATAAGATTTTTTCGTTCTGCATTCAGACCACAAATTGGGACTTTACATGAATATAATAAATTAGTTATCAAGTATGTGAAATACCTCAGCTCGAGCACAAACATAAAATCTGCGACCAAATGTAGGACCTGGTTTCTTCACCACTCGAGCAACACAAGGTTCCTTGTGGCCCTTACAAAGAGGTATACTGTTCTCCATGAGTTGTCGTATTCTTTGCCATTCAAGTAAAGCAACATTATTTTTCTCTTTGTCCAAAGAACAATTGCCATCTTGTTCATCTTGATCCTGTGAGCATCCACTCGAATTCACATCATGCAGCTCAGCATGACAGTTATTATAATCAGTCACAGGAGTTTTGCGATGAGGGGACTCTGGGACATCTGCCTGATGAAGTGAGGTATCAGTAACCAAATTGTCCACATCATGCCTAGGGTTTGGACTCTTCTGAAAAAAAGACCTCAGTGAGAGTTGCGAAGATTGAATTTTTCTTGCTTTTTTCTTGGCTCTGTCACTAGGAATTAAATTAATCTGCTTACAACTCCCAGCTGTAATTGTGGTGTTGCAAACAGCTTCATTAGGTAGATCTCTATGATTCTCATGCATTTTCCACATTTCTCCTTTAGGTTCTTGGTTTGCAAAAGAACAATGGTCACCAGGGGAAATTCCAGGTTCATGGCAGTTGAACGATCTTTCAGCACACTCACTGAAACTCTCCATTTTCATACTTTGGGTAGTAAGTGAGCTTAGGGCCTCGTAAGATTTAGCTTCTTTAGCAACTTCTCTTCTCATTAACACAGACACTGCAGAAAATCAAGAACTAAATAACTTTGCAGCAATGCATAAAAAACCAGCAGCTACAGAACAAAATACACATCAAATGCCAGGATGATAGAAATATAAAGCCCTCTTAGTTAAATGCCGAGAACCGCAAAGAAATGATGTTGCAAACACAGAATTTTAATTAGAGGGATTCAATAATTCAAAGCCTATCATTTTAATTAGTGTTTCAGTATTGAAGAGTTTTGGATGAAGACACTGCAGCTAATATCCAGCACGGACCTGAGGATCTTAAAATGAAAAGGTTTAAATTATTGAATCTCTCTACTTCAAATTTCTCTCAGTGGATTTCAAAAAAATACAGACTAAACTGATATTGAGTTCATATGTTTCAAGCCTCAAAAGCCGTTTTGTATATCCTGGATAAATTCAAAATTCATCTCTTTTGTGCATAGATGAGGGATTTCAGAAGTTAGGTGATAAAGAACCAGAAAGAGAAATGGATAAAGTATGGAGAAATAGGAAGAATAAGAGAAGGATAAAGGAGAACAACAAGAAAGGGGGGAACACAAGAAGAAATTAGAGAGGAGGAAATAAGCTATAGCGAGAAAACTCATTATATCAGCAAACAGAGAACCAGAAAGAAAAATAGATGAAGTATAGAGAAATAAGAGAAGGAGAGATTAGGGAGAAAACTCATAATATATTTATTCATAAACCAATCATGTTAACAAAAAACAATAATGATAAAAGAGTTAAGAAACCAAATCCTCACCAAAATATAATTCTAATCCTAACAAAACAGTGAAATGGAAGTTTAATTTAACTGAGACAATTCAATCCTAAAATATAAAAAACAAGGACTAAATAGCCCTTTGCATCTATCCTATATATACAACATGAGGTTCCACTATCCATCCCAACTCACATTCCAGATCTCTTAACCAACACATCAATGTATATCAATAACATTTCTGAAGGGTGTGATGATTCATAACTTTTTGAAATAATATTATTAATCATTTATTTTCTACAAGAGTCATTAATTTTCCCCATATACAGGTAAACTACAACTAACTTTTTTGAGTAACCACAGTGGCTTTATATTCACCATTATTCTATACAAGTAGACTATCATAGTCAAACCAACGCAACTAAGTCATATTAAAACTTCATCAATTTGATCTTTAAAAAACATTCCGTAACCTAACAAATGCCATATCATATGATGAAACCGAGAAAGCAAACAATACCTCAGTCATATATTAAAGCATTTAATTGATGTCACCACAGAAATTAGTGCATTATATAAAATAGATGCCTAATTTAAAAGAGTCTACTATTGGAAGATAAGAATATTAATCTCACCAAGAGTTTGCTGGAGACCACAAATCATGGGAAGGTATCTAGAAGCTAAAGATGGAGTGCTATGTTGGGGAATAACAGGAACTTCCCCAAAACTCATATAAACAGGAGCATGGTCTGAACCTTCTAATTTGATATTCATCCCTCCTTTCCACCTGGTTCTGGAAAAAGTTCATCAATTATCAAATAACAAAACTGAACTGGGAGCACGATATTACTCTATTCACAAGTACACTTACCTCGGTGTATTTCCAGGTTTCCACCGTTTATACTCTACTAGTATGTCACACTCCTTAACATGACAAGTTACAAAGTTATGGCCTTCCAGGTCATGCTTTTGATGAAAGCATGGTCCACCACAGAGAATATGGTCAATTCTGGTCCCATAATTAAATTGCTCAGCACCTGTATTAGATGGCCAGCATGTGTATGCATCTCTTCTGGATAATAATTAGAGAGAAAAAAAGGAGGTCATCATGATCAAAGACTTAGGAAAATATTAGTAACAATTCATATGGAAACTGAAGCATCATATATAAGTCTTAAACGAATACAAGCACAATCTCAGATCCACAGAAAAGCTAACTAGTCATAGTCATGTCAAAAACCTTGCAAAGACACAATATATGATCATTTACTAATTTTAGTGAAAATGATACACATGATGTATTTAAGTATTCTAGAAATTACGAAAGTTTGCAGAATTAAATTATATTTAGAAAAAAATAAAAACCAAAGCATTCTTCATTGGTGATGAAGAAAAACTCAATCTTAATGTTCAGTTCTACATTCAAATCGTACAAAAATAGAAGTCATCAAATAAAAAAACCAACCTAAGAGCTTAACTACTAGGTACTAGGTAGAATAGCCCTACAAATATATAAAGCCACATTAAATCCAAACTTCAGTGGATACATCATCAATCATCATCAGTCATAATAAATTCAAAAGTCAGTTCAAGTTCTAAACCTCTCAGGATGTTTTGCTCTGAAAACATCTAAAAAGGAGCCACAGGATTCCACCAGCATAGATCTAAACCATCTTCTGAACCTGCAAAGCAATTCATTCATATGAATACATCATTGCTTGTGAAGCTGAATAATGTTATAGATAAAAATAAGTCAGCTCCAAGAACAGCTAGAAGCTTAGAAAACAAAAACCAAAGAAATCAGATAGTAGCTTACTCATTCTTTTCAAAATCCGGTTCGGCCTCACAGCGATCTATGGCAGCAGGAGCAATGTTGAGATCACCAACCACAAATATCCTCCTCTTTTGACACAAGAGAAACTCCCATCTTTTCTACATAAAAGATTACCGATATCATCACAGCATAAAACTCATGTTTGCTAATTAATCCAAATAATTGCTTCACAACCAATCTTTAACAGTAAACCAAAAACCTTAAAAAGGAAAACAAATTAGGCATTTATACTAGAGAGACAAAGATGGCAAATACAACAAAAGAAAAGGATTAAAATACCTGCAATATCTTGAAAAACATAAGCTTAAACTGAATCCTGTCCACATCATCACTAGCAGCTCGTGGCCCATAAATATTAAACAGAACTGACCAATTGTAACATAAATTTCATCAATAACTGACCAATTGCAAGACAAATCTATCGCTAACTAGTAAGAACAAATAAAACTTCTCTACTGTATCATTATCAATCAACATGGTTTTAACTTACTGAAATGACCGTGATCCGTGATTATACAACGTCCCTCACCATCAACCCTACAGAGCTCATCTTTTGCAAATTCCTCAAGACCTTCCGCAATTTTACTTCCAGAAGTATCTAAAACACCAGTAAAGCCGTCTTCTGCTGCCACTGGCAGTGCCACTTCGTCACTCGAAAAAGCTGATTTCACACGGCAAAATGTCGCTACTCCTAGAGAAATTATAATGGAATAAAACGCAATTGCCTTTAAAAAAAAAAAAAATTAATAATTAAATTAAAAAGAAACGTTGCATTTAAAAATAAAAGTGACAAGTTGTTTTGGCTGCGGCAATTAAACAAACAGCTTACCGGAATAGCCAGTTCGGCCTTTATCAGAAGTACGCGTGCAAGAAAAAAAAGATTCATATCCGTCAGCCAATACTAAATCCGATTTTAGTTCTTGTCTTCTTAATTTTGTCTCCTGTATTGGGGCAAATCGTCGAAATTTAATATAATTTAACAAGCCCAATAATAAAATGTATAAATGAGTGTTAAGAGGAAGGGACCTGACCTGGAAGCAGATGATATCGGCATCGAAAGAGTCGAGTAGTTTGCGAAGAGAGCCGAACTGAGAGATGCGTTGTCTTAACCCATTAACATTGTATGTTACTATCTTCATCTCTCTACCTGCCCAAAGGTTACTCACGCTCACGCCAACGATTCTCTTTAGAGTTCTTGCCACTCATAGTTTGAGAACCGGAAACGACGTCGTTCTTATTCTGCATAAACAAAACTGAGTTCCGCTTTAGAGTGACACGTCACACGAAAACACCGCGTCATCCTATGAAAAACTAGCGATTTGTCTGCAGATTTAGTTCTCGTCTTCAGAACTCAAACACCGATCCAAGGTTTGTTAGTTTCTTCTGTTAATGGGTTCATTGAATTTATTTTATTTAGCTGTGTATTTGATTCTCTTGACATTCCATGGCATATCTTGGGCACAGATCGACCACGGTAATATTGCAGACGAAAAGTTATATCAATTCAAGACTGTACTCTTTCTGTAGTAGATGAGTTTTTCCTTTATACACAATCTTCTCCTGTGTTTCGAATGTGTAGTAGTACTGAATTGAGTTGTGCATGGATAGTTGTATCTGGAGCAACAATGAGTTATAATACCCAACAGTGGATAGGCCGAGTGGTAAAGGCCGTGGTCTCATGTCTTACGGATTATATAGGGTTTGTCTTGTTTTGAAAGTGTTGATACTGGATTTTGACACCAATCATTCGTATGTGAGAAATGTTGAGTAGATTCAGAAATCATACGTGAATATGAGGGTATTTGATTGAATAAGGGGTGAATAACAATGTTTAAAGTAGTTTGGATGTCTAAAGAGCAAATCTCACGTCCACTGATATTGTATTAATGTATGAAGTCAGGTCGCAGAATTATAACTTAGAGAATACAAGAGAGAAAGAGAGAAGTATGTGAGAAATGTTGAGTAGACTCAGAAATCATACGTGAATATGAGGGTATTTGATTGAATAAGGGGTGAAGAACAATGTTTAAAGTAGTTTGGATGCCTAAAGAGCAAATCTCACGTCCACTGATATTGTATTAATGTATGAAGTCAGGTCGCAGAATTATAACTTAGAGAATACAAGAGAGAAAGAGAGAATATGCTATTTTAGAGTAAAAATTAGTCTATCCTACAAACGAGAAAGGGGTCCTCTATTTATAGCGGGATGAATTAGGGTAGTGATTATTAAATCTGTGAGTGGGGCAGATGCCGTGTAAATCCTTCTCTGCGTCCCATTACTCACCTGCCCGAGTGATTTCCTCGACTTGTATAGGGATTGGACATGTGGACCTTTTCTAGCCTTTATTCTAGCCTTTCACCAACCTGGCGCATACCCACTGCACTGGCAGAAGCATATTGCTCGCGTCATCACGCGACGTGACTGCATCTGAGCGATTGTAAAACCTTCTCAAGCTCTGACCGCTCTTGCTGACAAGGCTCGACGTCAGCCCTACTTTCTCAGGCATAACAGAAGGCCTTGCTCGATGTCGGGGGATTAGTTAATGTGTACATAAATTGGTCCGAACACTCTAATAACAAAAAAATAAATAAATAAATAAACGAGTTATAATAGTAGATGAGTTTTTACATCTCTGCATTCTCAAGCCACGCTTTAGAGTTTATTCTATGGTATTGCATCCAGTATTGAGGCAATCTTATTATATATCATATGTACGATATAATCAAAATATTATATGAAAATATATCAAAGACAATTATAAATATATAAAATATTAAATTAAATATTATAAGTGAATGTTAAAATTGTTGAAAATTTCTAATAATTGTTATTTAATAATACATTATTGTTTCATTTTGCTTCTCTTAGATAAATTTCTGGCTACTTCTAAATATGTTATTAAATTTCATATTTAGAAAAAAAAAAATAATAATCAAAGAACAAGGAGATGCTCTCGTCTATGTAAAAGATGTGATAATTTTTAGTAAAGTTTTTCGATATTATTGCCCATCCACTATTTAATTTGCAGTATGTCATGTATCTGCGTTCCAAGATCAAAATCTCCATTGCAGTTTACTTATGATTGTTCACAGATAAATCTTTACAGATATATAGAGCTTCTGTTAAAGCAGAATCTGTATCCATCTTTAACATATTCACGAGCAGATTTCACAATGAAATTAATTTTTGTTTTCCCTTCTTGACTGTCGTCCCTAACCTCTTCATTTTGCAGATTTCACAATGAAATATGAACTGTGAATGGAAATGTCTACATAGAAGATAGAACATTTAAGCAAAACATATGAGTGTATGAGATAATGGTGACAACCAATGAAGATTTTCCAAGGGATATTACAATTGAAGTTCTATCAGGACTGCCAATAGAATCTCTAATAAGATTAAGGTGCATTTGTAAATCTTGGTATGTGTTATGCCTGGAAAAGTATGGCTGATGCAAAGCCTTGTCAGCGTAAGCGATCAGAGCTTAGGTAAGTACTGCAGCTATTTAGACGTAGTCACATTGCATGCTAATGCAAGCGGATTGCTCCTGCCAGTGCAGTAGGTGTGCGTCAGGCTGGTGAAAGGCTGGAGGCGATCCACGTGCCCAATCCCTATAAGAGTCGCGTAAATCACTCGAGCAGGTGAACAACGGGACACAAGGAAGGATTTGCACGGTAATCTGACCCACTCTTTGATTTAGTAATCATCACCTCAATTCATCCCACTATAAATAGAGGGATTCTCTCCCGTTTGTGGGATTAGCTAAATTTTCTTTGGAATAACATATATACTCTCTCTCTCTTTCTCTCTCTCTCTCTCTCTTGTAATCTCTTGTTAGTCAGTTCGTTGAACGTGACCTAATCTCAAATATATAAATACGATACCAGTGGACGTAGGATTCGCTTCTGAAGCATCTGAACCACTTTAAACACATTTCTTCTTCTTCTATTCAGTTCAATTCTCCAGTACACGTGTGTCTTCTGAGTCAGCTCAGCATTTCCCACGTGCGTTTAGTTGGTGTCAAAATCACGCATCAACAGTATGATTTATTTAAAACTCCTGGTTTCATTTCAAAACACCTCAAAAACGATATATGTTTACGGATTACACCGATGAATTTAGCTATCCAGTTGATTTGTATCGTCTGTTTCCCGATGAAACATTGACAGACATATAATCTCAGAATTTCCATCTTCAGGATCCACGATATGAAATTGTTGGGGGTCCTTATGATGGCATATTTTGTATATGCGGGATGAACAATCATTTAACTCTTTGGAACCGAGCAACCAAAGAGACGAGAGCTCTTCCAAAATTTAGAGACATTCCACATTATACTAGTAAATGTAGTTGGAATTTTGGATTTGGATTGGATACTATGAATAACGATTACAAGTTTGTCATGATACTCTCCTTGTGGGATAAAAAGACAAATTATTTATATGAATTTTCACATGTTGCGGTGTACAATCTAAGTACTAACTCTTGGAGAGATTCACAGCACTTCAAAACGATTGATTACTACATGGATTACTTCTCTGATTGCACCTTCTTGGATGGAGTCTGTTGTTGGTTGTTTAGTTTCCGGAACAATTTTGGACATAAGGTGATATGTTCATTTCATATGGATGAGGAGGTGGTTGAAGTAATACCAGGACCATGCTTTCATGAATCAGAACATGGAACTCTTGGGTTGTATAATTGTTCTCTGTGTTTAATACTTTTTGACAAGAACGTCAATTGCTTTGGCATATGGATGATGATGAGGGAAGAAAAGTGTTGGACCTCTTCTAGGAGTGCAGATGCCGCTTGGATTTTGGAAGAAAGGTGCGTTTTTTCTTAATTCTAACACCAGAGAGTTGCTCTTGTATGATCCTATTGCCCAAGAACTCAGATATCTTGGACTGAAAAGCTCTTGGTTTATAGTTCATACTTATAAAGAGAGTTTAATTAGCATAAAGGAGGATGGCATATCTTAGGTGTGTATTGAAAAAGAGTCACTCCTCTCCTCTTCCTTTAACCTTCGGGCGCACCACCACCTTCAACACACCGTTCTTCATCTCCGCCTTGGTCTGATCGGTCCTGTACATCTTCTCAGGCAAATCGGTTCTGCTCGTGAACCTTCGAACGCTCTCTTCATCATCACCTCCTTTTGCTCCTTCACCTTTGATCACCAGAATATTCTATAGCACTGAAAGTTAATATTAATATTGTATAGCACTTAAACAGGATGCATGTAATAATGTCCTAAAACAAATCTTTGTAAGCTTTATAATGGTGTAAAAACGTGACTTTGGTTTTACGATAGGGTATTTTATTGTCATGATGTCTATGATTCTCACTTAAAAGAAGGCTTCTATGGAAGACAAATCAAAGGATGAAGATTCATATTCATAAATCATAATTATACAAAGTATTTTTAATGGTCTTGATAAAAAAATAGAGAGTAATACGAAACCAAAAACAATAAACACATATAAACTATAAATAGTAAAGAGAACGAATAAATACACGTGATTTATCCTGATTCACTCAATTAACAAGCTACGTTTAGCAAAGTCAATATTATTGCAATACTGCCTCACCTCTCTCGTTTATAATGAATGCAATTTGCCTTATGATTTGCTATCACACTCATATAAGAAAAGTATATGTTTATCTACTAAGTTTAAAAAACTAAAACTTAATATTACAATGATTTATATTCCTAAGCCTAAACCCAATAATGAATTAATAACTTAAAGAAATCTTTTAGCGGGACCATCGAATGCGTCTACCCTGCTAGGAGGTAAATCAGGTGATGGGGAAGATGCATCAGCAACTGGAGAGACCAAAAGTCATTGGAAAACGAGCAAAAACCTACCTGGAAACCAAACAGTCACTGGTGGAATATGAAGAATTTCGCGACAAATCTCAGTGGAATGATATGGACCAGTGGCAAGGGAGCACAAGGGAAGGACGACTAGCACTTGGGAAGTCAAAGGGTCGCCGAAAAGTGGAGAAATCTTGCTGAAAGATGAAGAGTCGCAGTGGTGGAAGGTGAAACATCGCTGACGATGGAAGACAAGGCATCACGGTAGGGAGGGAAGGTGAGGAGGGCTCGGCCAGCTTGGGGGAAGGTGAAGCATCGCTAGCCGACAGCCAAAATGGGGTTGGGGTTTGGTGTTGGCGGCTGGCTCCCGGTTGCCCATTACGGTGATGGCTAGACCTCGATCAACGACCACGGTTCTTCACGGCAGCTTTTGACTAGTTGGATTGAGCCCGAACAATTGGACAATTGGTTAAGTTTCTCTTATTCAAATTATATTTGTTTTCGTTTCAATTTGTTTATGATATTTTATTATAATTATGATGCATGACGTGTTGAATTGATCATGTCCATAGAGAATGTTTGTTGATATACAACTTTTTGCACAATTGAATGTCAGTTTGAGATTATTGAATGTTGATTATGGCTTTAAATTGCTTCAAGGCTGATT